ACTCAACACCAAAGAACAAATAATCCAATCAAGAAATGGGCAGAAGACATGAACAGACATTTCTGCAAAGAAGACATCCAGATGGCCAACAGACACATGAAAAAGTGCTCCACATCACTCGGCATCAGGGAAATAGAAATCAAAACCACAATGAGATATCACCTCACACCAGTCAGAATGGCTAAAATTAACAAGTCAAGAAATGACAGATGCTGGCGAGGATGCGGAGAAAGGGGAACCCTCCTACACTGTTGGTAGGAATGCAAGCTGGTGTAGCCACTCTGGAAAACAGTATGGAGGTTCCTCAAAAAAGTGAAAATAGAGCTACCCTATGACCCAGCAATTGCACTATTGGGTATTTACCCTAAAGATGCAAATGTAGTATTCCAAAGGGGCATGTGCACCCCAATGTCCATCAACAGATGAATGGATAAAGAAGATGTGAGATACACATACACACATACACAGAATGGAATACTATGCAGCCATCAAAAAAACCAAAATCTTGCCATTTGCAACAACATGGATGGAACTAGAGGGTATTATGCTAAGCAAAATAAGTCAATCAAAGAGAGACAATTATCATATGATCTCACTGATATGAGGAATTTGAGAAAAAGAACCGAAGATCATAGGGAAGGGAGGGAAAAAAATGAAACGATGAAACCAGAGAGGGAGACAAACCATAAGAGACTTAATCTCAGGAAACAAACTGAGGGTGGCTGGGGAGTGGGGAGGGAGGGTAGGGGTGGGTAGGTGATGGACGCTTGGGAGGGTATGTGCTATGGTGAGTGCTGTGAATTGTGTAAGACTGATGAATCACAGACCTGTACCCCTGAAACAAATAATACACTATGTATTAATAACAAAAAAAAAGAAAAAAGAAAACAATCCCATTTATAATTATACAAAAAATAATAAAATATTTAGGAATAAACTTAACCAAGGAGATGAAAGACTTGTACTTTCAAAACTATAAAACACTGATGAAAAAAACCTGAAGATAACACACACTACTAAAACAATGTTCCATGCACATAGACTGGGAGAATTAATATTGTTAAAATGTCTACTATCCAAAACAACCTACAGATTTAATGCAATACCATCATTTTTCATAGAATGAGAGCAAATAATCCTGAAATTTGTATGGAACCACAGAAGACTCTGAATAACCAAAGCAATCTTGAAAAGTAAAGCTGCAGGCATCACAACCCCAGATTTCAAATTAAACTACAAACCTGTAGTAATCAAAACAGCATGGTACTGACAAAAACATAGACACATAGATCAACAGAACAGAATAGAGAGCCTAGAAATAAACCCACAACTACAGGGTCAATTCATCTTTGACAAAGCAGGAAAGAATATGCCATGCAAAAAAAGATAGTCTCTTCAACATGTGCGAAAAACAGGACAGCCACATGCAACAAAATGATACTGGACCCCTATGTTATACCATACACAAAAATAGACTCAAAATGCATAAAGATAAACTCAAAATGGATAAAAGACCTCAACGTGAGACAGGAATCCATCAGAATCCTAGAGGAGAACATAGGCAGTAACCTCTTCAATATCAGCCACAGCAACTTCTTTCAAGATATGCCTCCAAAGGCAAAGGAAACAAAAGCCAAAATAAACTTTTGGGACTTCATCAAAATCAAAAGCTTCTGCACAGCAAAGGAAACAGTCAACAAAACAAAGACGCAACCCACGGAATGGGAAAAGATATTTCCAAATGACAGTACAAACAAAAGATTGATATCCAGGATCTATAAAGAACTCCTCAAACTCAACACACACAAAACAGATAATCATATCAAAAAATGGGCAGAAGATATGAACAGACACTTCTCCAATGAAGACATACAAATGGCTATCAGACACATGACAAAATGTTCATCATCACTAGCCATCAGGGAGATTCAAATTAAAACTACATTGAGATATCACCTTACACCAGTTAGAATGGCCAAAATTAGCAAGATAGGAAACAACATGTGTTGGAGGGGATGTGGAGAAAGGGGAACCCTCTTACACTGTTGGTGGGAATGTAAGTTGGTGCAGCCTCTTTGGAGAACAGTGTGGAGATTCCTCAAGAAATTAAAAATAGAACTTCCCTATGACCCTGCAATTGCACTACTGGGTATTTACCCCAAAGATACAGATGTAGTGAAAAGAAGGGCCATCTGTACCCCAATGTTTATAGCAGCAATGGCCACGGTTGCCAAACTGTGGAAAGAACCAAGATGCCCTTCAACGGACGAATGGATAAGGAAGATGTGGTCCATATACACTATGGAGTATTATGCCTCCATCAGAAAGGATGAATACCCAACTTTTGTAGCAACATGGACGGGACTGGAAGAGATTATGCTGAATGAAATAAGTCAAGCAAAGAGAGTCAATTATCATATGGTTTCACTTATTTGTGGAGCATAACAAATAGCATGGAGGACATGGGGAGTTAGGAGAAGGCAGTTGGGGGAAATTGGAAGGGGAGGTGAACAATGAGAGACTATGGATTCTGAAAAACAATCTGAAGGGTTTGAAGAGGTGTGGGGGGAGGTTGGGGGAACCAGGTAGTGGGTGTTAGAGAGGGCACGGATTGCATGGAGCACTGGGTGTGGTACAAAAACAATGAATACTGTTATGCTGAAAATAAATTTTTAAAAATGATTTTTAAAAAATGCATAAAAGCCCAAAATATAAAACCCAAAAATATAAAATTTCTAGAAGAAAACATAGGCACTAATTTTTCGCATCAACTATAGAAACATTTTTCTAGATATGTCTCTTCTGGCAAAGGAAACAAAAGCAAAATTGAACTACTGGGAATGTAACAAAATAAAAAGCTTACCCACCAAAGAAAACAATAAAAAAACTAAAAGACGACTCAACAAATGGGAGGAAATATTTGCAAATGGTATATTTGATAAGAGGTTAATATCCAAAATGTATATTAACACCAAATACCCAAAATGTATATTAACAACTTAACATCAAAAAACCCTCAAATAATCCAATTTAAAAATGGGCACTAGACATGAACAGACATTTCTCCAAAGAAGACATACAGATGGACAACAGTTATATGAAAAGATGCTCAACATCACTTATCATCAAGAAAATGCAAATCAAAGCTATAATGAGATATCACCTCAGACCAGTCAGAATGCCTAAAATAAAAACACAAGAAACAACAAGTGTTGGCAAGTAGGTAGAAAAAAGAAACCTAGTGCACTTTTGGTGGGAATGCAAACTTGTACAGCCACTGTGGAAAAGAGTATGGAGGTTCCTCAAAAAATTAAGAAAAGAATGACCATATGATCCAGTAATTCTGCTACTGGGTATTTGCCTAAAGAATATAAAAACACTAATTTGAAAAGATATGTATACCCTTATGTTTATTGCCACATTATTTGTAATAGCCAAGATGTGGAAGGAACCCAAATGTCCGTAGATAGATGAATGGATAAAGATGATGTGGTACATCTACACAATAGAATATTATTCAACCATAAAAAAGAATGGTATCTTGCCATTTCCAACAATATGAATGGATCTGGAAGGTGTGATGCTAAGAGAAATATGTCAGTCAGAGAAAGAGAAATACCATATGATTTCATTCACAGTGGAATTAAAGGAACAAAACGAAGAAAAAAAGACAAACAAAAAGCAGACCCTTAAATATAGAGAAGAAACCAGTGATTTCCAGAGGGAAGATAGATGTGAGGATAGGTGAAACAGGGAGGGGGTTAAAAGTACACTTATGATGATGAGCAATGAGAATCACCATATTGTACACTTGAAACTAATATAATACTGTTAATTATACTGGAAATAAATAATAAACAGAATGAAAACATGAATTCAAAAAGACACATGTACCCCATATATGTACTGCAACACTATTTACAGTAGATGGGATATGGAAACAATCTAAGTGTCCACTGATAAATGAATAGGTAAAGAAAAAGTGGTACACACATGCACACACACGAATATAACATAACAGTAAATAAGGATGAAATCTTGTCATTTTTAATAGCATGCATGGATCCTGAGAGTGTTATGCTAAGTGAAATAAGTCAGACTGAGAAAGACATATGATTTTACTCATATGAGGAATCTAAAAAAACAAAACAAGTTAATAAACAAGCAAAAAGCGATCTGGACCTGTAAATACAAAGAACAAATGGATGGTTGCCAGAGGGAAAGGGGTTTAAGGGATGGGCAAAATGCCTGAAGGGGAGTGGAAGATACAGGCTTTCATTTATATGGAATAAGTCATGAAAATAAAAGGTACAGCAAGGAAATATGGTCAATGATATTATAATAGTGTCATATGGTGACAGATGGTAATTACACTTGTGGTGAGCACAGCATAGGTATAGAGGTGATGAATCACTATGTTGTACACCTGAAACTAAGGTAACATTGTATGTCAACTGTATTTGAAATTTTAAAAAAAATTTTAAAGAGATTCTCCTTAACCACTTTGGAGAAATTATTCTCTTCAGTCAATCATCTAGATATTCCTCATGTAAGACCCTAAATCTTCTACTTCATTTTTTTAAGATTTTATTTATTTACTTGAGCAAGACTGAGAGAGAGAGAGAGAGGGAGAGAGAGGGAACACACAGAGGGAGACAGAGAAGCAGACTCCTTGCTGAGCAAGGAGCACGACACAGGACTCAATCCCAGGAGCCTGGGATCATGACCTGAACCAAAGGCAGATGCTTAACGACTGAGCCACCCAGGTGCTCATTTTTATTTATTTGAACCTTTAAAACTTTTGCCATAAAGCAGTGACAACTGTTAGATAAAACACAACATTTTGATCCATATATTTACTTTTACTATCAAAACTTTAAATTCCATATCAGTAGTAATATTGCATACTTATATTCATTCTATAATGGGGTTGATATATTTAATTGCTATTAATAGAAATAAAAATTTCAGATAATATTAATGTGAAAAATATCGCTTACATTTTCTGCTTCTGAATTATAACTTGTATTTGCTTGGATTTTCTCTGGAACTACAATTTGTAGAAATGAATTTTGAGAACCTGAAGAAAGGAAAAAGAGAGTTAATAATTGTGTCTTATACCTGACTAAATATTTGTTCAGGTTCTTTTGTAGAATTCACTTGTGCACATATGAGTAATCACTATGTACTCCTACAAAAATCTTGAAAACAATTCAAAAACAGGCAAGATAGTTATGAAAGACCAAAGAAAGGACAGAGGGTGGAGACAGGGGCATAGTATTAAAATTACACAAAATTTGTTACTCCTGAGGAAAACAGACCAAAAAACAGTCAAAGATAAACTTCAAGAAAACTTTGCTGAAATAAAAGATTAGAAACCATAGACTGGAAAGTACCCTGAATTCATGAATAACAGTAATAATTAAAACAGACATAGTCTACGAAAGTTATTGGGTGTCTAAGAGAAAGAAAGAATCCTATAGGCCTGTGAGCAAACAGAAAGAAAAAGAAAATCATACTGAGCATAAGGGAGAAAGCAGACTAGCCTGATAATTTGTACATTATTCAACATTATAAATGAAGAACAATGTATTTTTTTAAGTTTTTATTTAAATTCCAACTGGTTACAATACATGTTAATATTAGTTTCAGATGTACAATATAGTGATTCAATACTTCCATATAACACCCAATGCTCATCACAAGTTCACTCCTTAATTCCCATCACCTATTTAACCCATGCCCTCACTCACCTCCCTCTGGTAACCATTAGTTTTTTCTCTATAATTAAGGATCTGTTTCTTGGTTTGCCTCTACCCCCACCCTTGCTCATTTGTTTTGTTTCTTAAATTCTGCATATGCATGAAATCATATGGTATTCATCTTTCCTGTCTTATTTCAGTTAGCATGCTACTCTGTAGTTCCATCTACGTCATTGCTAATGGCAAGATTTTGTTCTCTTTTTTTATGGCTGAGTAACATTTCATTGCCCATATGCCACTTTTTTTTTTCTTCTTCTCAGATGCTGGGTTAGGGTTCGGTTTTATGGCCAATGTCAGATTTAGGGTTAAGTTTAGGGTCAGGGGTGAGGGTATATGTGCCTGGTATCCTGCTGTTTAGAGAACTCTCCAGAGAGTTCAATTTAGGGTTAGGTTTAAGGGTTGGGGGTTAGGGTTAGGGTGATGATTAGGGTTTAGGTTTAGGAGTTAAGTTTTGGGGGTTAAGAGGTTGGGATTTGGGGCTAAGGTTGGGGTTAGGGTTAGGGAGTTTGGGTGTTACAGGGTTTATATTAATTAAAGAAGATGTTACACTTGATGGTTTATACACAATGTCGTTTCAGTGAGTGAAACCCAAGGCTCTTCCCTTATGCTTCTACACATCCATTTACAAACACAGGACTCTTATTATATGCTATCATATGTTTATAAACACTTTTATTATAATGAAAGAAAGTTTTACATGAAACGCACATTATATTTCATGTAGTTATATTCAGTTAAGAATAGGTCTACTCCCACATTTTTTACACATACATTTACAAACACATATATATCATTGAAAAAGATGTTACTTTAACAATTGTTTATATATAGTATAGTTTCAATGAGAAGCATATGGCTATTCCCATATTGTTCTATGCATATGTAGAAACTTCAATGAAAGAAGATGATAACTGGAAGACTGATTGTATATACTGTGGTCTCAGAGTTTTAAGCATAGGGCTATTCCCATACACTTTTACACATTTGAAGAACAAGTTCTTTTGAAAATCTTTAAGAAAGTGAAGTGTGAAAAACCTCGAACTTCATACCCAGCAATACTTTCATTCGAACATAGAGGGAAAGGAGATGTATTCACAAGCAAAAACGTAAAGGAAATAGCTCAAAGTCCCTGTCACAAAAGGCAGAGAAATTCTTTCAACGAAGATACCAGTATACTTAAAGTAAAAGGTTAGCAGCAGGTATTAAATAAACTTAAATATAGAATAAGGCTAAAACAACCTTGAGAATTATAGTTATTTAATAGAGAGCAAATGATATAAATATAGTAACATATACAATAATGTCAGGCAGTATAGAAGAAGAGGAAAACCATATGTGCATATTGATTTCCTTAAATTTACTGCATTGTGGCCCAAAAAGAATTGTGACTAAAGCTGAAAATCAAGTGGTAGAAGTAGAAACATATTGTTCAATGGCGTAACAATATAGAACTAAGACTTAAAATAACCACAGTCATATATTAAAGGGGAGAACAGGAAGTGGGTAGCAATAAGATACTAAACTTTCTAATTACAGTGAGGAATCACTATTACTGCCTAAATAAAAAATTTAATCCTTTATGTTAGCACTGTAAGTATTCCAAATTAAGAGAACATACACAAAGGCACCCAGAAAATAAACAAAAAATCAAATTTTTGCAGTGAAAAGACTTTACCAAAAACATGATATCAAAAAAGTATCATATAAGTAAGAAGTTCTAAGATCGGGGGGAGGAGAAAAGATGGCGGAGAAGTAGCAGGCTGAGACTACTTCAGGTAGCAGGAGATCAGCTAGATAGCTTATCTAAAGATTGCAAACACCTACAAATCCAACAGGAGATCGAAGAGAAGAAGAACAGCAATTCTAGAAACAGAAAATCAACCACTTTCTGAAAGGTAGGACTGGCAGAGAAGTGAATCCAAAGCGACGGGAAGATAGACCACGGCGGGAGGGGCCGGCTCCTGACAAGCGGCGGAGCAATGGAGCACAAAATCAGGACTTTTAAAAGTCTGTTCCGCTGAGAGACATCGCTCCAGAGGCTAAACCGGGGTGAAGCCCACAAGGGGTCAGCTTGGCCTCAGGTCCCGCAGGGTCACAGAGGATCGGGGGTGTCTGAGTGTCGCAGAGCTTGCAGATATTAGAACGGGGAAACTGGCTACAGAGACAGAGCCAAGGAGTGAGCTCTCAGCTCGGGGTTACCTTGAACCAGTCACAGGCTCGGTGAGCTTGGAGCACAGCCGGAGGCCAGGAAGATGGGAGTAATTGGGCGCTGTTCTCTGAGGGTGCAATGAGGAGTGGGGCCCCGAGCTCTCGGCTCATCCGGGCCGGAGACTGGGAGGCTGCCATTTTCATTCCTGTCCTCCGGAACTCTAAGGAAAGCGCTCAGGGAACAAAAACTCCCGAAAGCAAACTTGAGCAGATTACTCAGTCCAGCCCCTGGTAAGGGCGGTGCAATTCCTCCTGGAACAAAGACACTTGAGAATCACTACAACAGGCCCCTCCCCCAGAAGATCAACAAGAAACCCAGCCAGGACCAAGTTCACCTACCAAGGAGTGCAGTTTCAATACCAAGGAGAGCAGCGGAATTCCAGAGGAGGAGAAAGCAAAGCACGGAACTCATGGCTTTCTCCCCATGATTCTCTAGTCTTGCAGTTAATTTAATTTTTTTCTTTTTCAATTTTTTTTCTTCTTCTACTAAATTTTTTTTAACTTTTTACCCTTTTCTTTTTTAACGTTTTTTAACTAGTTTATCTAATATATATATTTTTTCTTTTTTATATTTTTTCTTTATTCATTTTCTTTTTTTAATTGTTTCTTTTTTTTCTGAACCTCTTTTTATCCACTTTATCCCCCCTACGATTTGGGATCTCTTCTGATTTGGTTAAAGCATATTTTCCTGGGGTCTTTGCCACTCTTTTAGTATTTTACTTGCTCCTTCATATACTCTTATCTGGACAAAATGACAAGGTGGAAAAATTCACCACAAAAAAAAAAAAAAGAACAAGAGGCAGTACCGAAGGCTAGGGACCTAATCAATACAGACATTGCTAATATGTCAGATCTGGAGTTCAGAATGACGATTCTCAAGGTTCTAGCTGGGCTTGAAAAAGGCATGGAAGATATAAGAGAAACCCTCTTGGGAGATATAAAAGCCCTTTCTGGAGAAATAAAAGAACTAAAATCTAACCAAGATGAAATCAAAAAAGCTATTAAAGAGGTGCAATCAAAAATGGAGGCTCTCACTGCTAGGATAAATGAGGCAGAAGAAAGAATTAGCGATATAGAAGACCAAATGACAGAGAATAAAGAAGCTGAGCAAAAGAGGGACAAACAGCTACTGGACCACGTGGGGAGAATTCGAGAGATAAGTGACACCATAAGACGAAACAACATTAGAATAATTGGGATTCCAAAAGAAGAAGAAAGAGAGAGGGGAGCAGAAGCTATACTGGAGAGAATTATTGGAGAGAATTTCCCTAATATGCCAAAGGGAACAAGCATCAAAGTTCAGGAGGTTCAGAGAACCCCCCTCAAAATCAGTAAAAATAGGTCCACACCCCGTTACCTAATAGTAAAATTTACAAGTCTTAGTGACAAAGAGAAAATCCTGAAAGCAGCCCGGGAAAAGAAGTCTGTAACATACAATGGTAAAAATATTAGATTGGCAGCAAACTTATCCACAGAGACCTGGCAGGCCAGAAAGAGCTGGCATGATATATTCAGAGCACTAAATGAGAAAAACATGCAGCCAAGAATACTATATCCAGCTAGGCTATCATTGAAAATAGAAGGAGAAATTAAAAGCTTCCAGGACAAACAAAAACTGAAAGAATTTGCAAACACCAAACCAGCTCTACAGGAAATATTGAAAGGGGTCCTCTAAGCAAAGAGAGAGTCTAAAAGTAGCAGATCAGAAAGGAACAGAGACAATATACAGTAACAGTCACCTTACAGGCAATACAATGGCACTAAATTCCTATCTCTCAATAGTTACCCTGAATGTGAATGGGCTAAATGCCCCAATCAAAAGACACAGGGAATCAGAATGGAGAAAAAAACAAAACCCATCTATATGTTGCCTACAAGAAACTCATTTTAGACCCGAAGACACCTCCAGATTTAAAGTGAGCAGGTGGAAAAGAATTTACCATGCTAACGGACATCAGAAGAAAGCAGGAGTGGCAATCCTTATATCAGATCAATTAGATTTTAAGCCAAAGACTATAATAAGAGATGAGGAAGGACACTATATCATACTCAAAGGAACTGTCCAACAAGAAGATCTAACAATTTTAAATATCTATGACCCTAATGTGGG